AAGAAAGATGGTAGATAATGACAGCTGCGGTGGTCTAGGTCCAAAAGGTACTGCGACCGCAAAAATCCCACAATAAATCCAATACTCCGGATATGGGAACTAAATCTCATACCTTGCAATTGTAACCACAGCATCCCACCACGCCACAGCCCAACGCATATATGGTGGTAGGCTTTGATACAGGAGCACATGATAAAATGATATTTGTTTTAAATTATATAAAAATAAAAATAAAAAAATCTTATTTTACAATTCAATCAATAAAATAATCAAATTGTAAAATAAAGACAATTAAAAAAGGAAGAGCTCTAATATTAGAAATTCAACTTCTGTTTAATAGTTAATATAATGCAGTTTGTTATAATCTAAACCATACCACACTTATTAAAAAACAAAAACAAGGTAGGCTGTAGGTACATTGGAAACAAGAAAGAGCTTTAGTTCTTAGTTTCTGGCAAAAGGTACCCGTTTCCCCTTAACTTTTCGACTTTTAGGGTTTTTACCCTCCATATTACGATACATGGATTTTTACCCTCAACGTTTTCGAGTTGAGGAAATGAGGCAAAATTTAACGCCGGAATGTCATGTGTAGCATATGCACCGTTGACCTCCGTCAAGTATGCGCATGTCAGTACCAACTCAGAATTTTTTGACAACCTGGCATGCCAACTTGGAACCCCACGAGCGGGAAGTCTACTGCCAATTTTTTGTGGGCCCCACTATTGATTAAAGGTTTTTAAAAAAAAAGTTAAATCCTCGATTCAGTCCCTTAACTTTCATTTTTAAACTAAATTTACCTCGAACTTCAAAATATTGTGACTTGGCATCAAAAATATAATTTAATAAATAAAAAAAAAAAATTTCTCCTTCTCTTTCCTTTTCTCCTTCTTTTTCCTTTTCTCCTTCCCCTCCCTACTGGGTTCAAAGGAACCCAGCACCAACGCCTGGGACAAATCACAGTTCTCTGCCTCCTTTCTCACAATATCAAGAACAACATCAATGAGCTCAGCTCCCTCAGTGTAATGGCCCTTAGCCCAGTTGTTACCAGCGCCAGATTGACCAAACACAAAGTTATCAGGCCTGAAGATCTGACCGTAGGGACCAGTCCTGGCACTGTCCATAGTACTTGGTTCCAGATCCATGAGCACAGCACGCGGGACAAATCGCCCACACGAAGCCTCATTGTAATAGACATTCACACACTCCAGTTGCATATTAGAGTTTCCATTGTATCGTCCTGTCGGATCAATACCGTGCTCATCACAGACCACTTCCCAGAACTTAGCACCGATCTGGTTCCCACATTGTCCACCCTGAATGTGAAGGATCTCTCTCATTGTTTAACAACAGATCTGCAGAAACAGCAAGACAAGCAGATGTCTTGACTACAGACATAAGACTTAAGCAGACAAGGAGTTAAATGACTATACTATCACTATCAAATATGAAATTTCAAACACTAAAATACCCGAGTCAGCAATTTCTCTGATTTTCCAACCTACTTTCTCGGCAAAAAAACAGAAAACCAAAGATGAGGATTTTATACTTACATCGATCAGAGGCGGAGAGAGAGATAAGAAAGTACAGAGCACGCACGCTTGGGTTCCTTCGAACCCAGTAGGGAGGGGAAGGAGAAAAGGAAAGAGAAGGAGAAAAAAAAAAGGGAAGGAAAGAAAAAAGAAAAAAAAAAAAAGGAAAGGAAAGAAAAAAGAAAAAAAAGAAATTTTTATTTATTAAATTATATTTTTGGTGTCAAGTCACAATATTTTGAAGTTCGAGGTAAATTTAGTTTAAAAATGAAAGTTAAGGGACTGAATCGAGGATTTAACATTTTTTTTTAACCTTTAATCAACAGTGGGGCCCACAAAAAATTGGCAGCAAGTAGACTTCCCGCTCGTGGGGTTCCAAGTTGGCATGCCAGGTTGTCAAAAAATTCTGAGTTGGCACTGACATGCGCATACTTGACGGAGGCCAACGGTGCACGTGCTACACGTGACGTTCCGGCATTAAATTTTACCTCATTTCCTCAATTCGAAAACGTTGAGGGTAAAAATCCATGTATTGTAATATGGAGGGTAAAAACCCTAAAAATCAAAAAGTTAAGGGGCAAACGGGTACCTTTTGCCCTTAGTTTCTATGTGTTTCACAGTCCCACAATTTTAACCATGTCAAAAAAATAGTGCTGATTTGATATATTCCAACATGTATATCCGAGATAATATAGACTTTCAGAAAAGAGAATGAAGAAAATCCCCATTACACATGATGAAAGGAAGCTATCAATATATAAAGTTTGGTTAAACTTTCATTTTGATCTTCTACTTTAACGATAATTTTTTTTTTATTCTCTTTATTTAATTTTTTTTTTAGTCTTTAAAGTTTATTATTTTGCTTTTTTTAACTCTTTTGTTATTTTTATGCATGTAACACATTAAATGACAAAAATTTTAAAATAAAAGAACTAAAAAAAGCTTCTTCTTTTTTGCCACTACTTAAAAAAAAAAAAAAACTCCTTTTTAATTCCTCTCTTTTGCAATTTTCATTATCTAATATTTTACATATATCAAAAAACTAATAAAGTGATTAAAAAAGAGCTAAATAATAAATTTTAGTAATTAAAAAGAGATTTTTTAATGTTAAAAAACTTTTAAAAAGTCTTTTATTAAAGTAGAAAGAAAAAAATAAAAGTTCAAAAAAATTACTACTATTTAGTGTATAATAATTTTTTATTTTAAAAAAGATATCTTGACAATAAAATATTTGATTTTGAACATTGAATCCTTAATCTCCTTTTCCTGGGCAAAGTTTTCTCAGCAACAAATACCAGAAGGGCATGCAAAAAGAGAGAATTACAGCAAGTTTTACGGGCAAGGTGAGCCAGATCAGGTTCTTGACAACCAGGGGGCTGTTGCTCAAAGCATTTTGCAAAAGAAAACATCAGAAAATTTAACACCGCACTGATGGGAATTATAAAAGCTGCACATATCTGCTCTTCAATGCTCGGACTCTGAGAGTTCGTCCCCTATACACAAAACAAAATGTTCATAAAATTAGCACCAAATAACCTCAAGAATAATCAACACATGCTCAAATAATAAACAGCCAATTTAAGCACGAAAATTCCTAACAGAGACTATGAGAAGGAGATACAGAAGAATTGCTGGAATCCATGGCCGGCAGGAAGCAAACAGTCATCAGAGGGTTGTTCTTCTGCTCTCGCCAACAGGACAGCTTACCGTCAAGTCCCTGTCGGCGGCGAGATATATATTGATATATATACGTTGAACTTGATCTGGACTCTA